TGGCCTTTATGTCCCACAGCTCCAAGTGTAGGGGAGGAGATGCTGCAGCCTGGGATGTATGGGGCTTCTCGCTCCTCAGAACTTGAATCCTGAGCTTGGGAGAGTGAGAAAGAGCACTGGGTGTCGCCCCCAAGCCCAGCCAGACCACGCTCAATTAAGAAATGCACTTTGTTTAGTGCCTCTTCGTGGAATGGCACACATATTAAATTTTCAGCTCATTCCAGGACTATTTCTTGAGCCAAGTGGGTTACAAAACAAAACACTAGAGTGGGAGACCAGGACAGGGACCCATCTCTAATCCTATGGCCTTGGCAATGACCCTTTCTACCTTAATGTGCTCATCTATAAAATAGGATGGCAGCAATATCAGGTCTTCTCATTTAGAGTAGTTGGAGGATTCAGTGAGAAAAGAAAAGGTGGAGGGGAAACATTGTGCTGGGTCTTAAGGTTGTTTTGCCCAAGTTGCGAAGTCCCCAAAGACCACCAAGGAGTCAGGTCGGATGCAATTACAAGAGGAGTTTACTGCAAGCTCGAGCCTGGACCCTCAGGTGTCACCGTCGCAGCGGCTTCAGACTGACAGCCCAGATCCAATTTTGAAGTGGGTTTATATAGGGTTAAGGAAACTTTTTGCTTATATAGTTTCTATTTTTAGCTCTCGCTTATCATTGGATATTTGAGGGGTCCTGGGAGGGCTTTTACATTTTATTGGATATTCGAGGGGCAACGGGAGGGTACTTACTGGAAAATTACCTAAGCAGAATCAATTCCTCTTTTAATAGAACATCTGATTTTGTAAGCAAGGATACCAGCAGGTGGACCTATGACTAATACCTATATTAGTTAAATGAAGAAGAAAAAAATTCATCTTTGGATCTTAAAAAGAAGGACAGAAACAGGGTGAAGATGCCCTAGGATAACTTGCACTGAAAGAGGAACAGAAACACAGGGAGACTGTCATACAGAATGAAATTTTACAGAAGGGAACTTTTGCAGCTTTATTCTGGGCAAGGGGTATATAGAGGGGGCACAGAGGGAGCCCACCTTGACCTGAAAACTTGGTCCTCACAAGATCACTCAGGTGGGACAGGTATTCAGGGTGGGTGTATGGGTGGGGCCCTGGGCTCAGACTGCCTGGGCTCAACTAACTTTCTCTTGACCCACTTGAGTGACCCTAAGAAGTTCTGCAGCTTCCTGTAACACAGGTTGGAAGCTTTGCTTGAGGCTAATCCTACTAACTCATTGTGGACTTCCTGGGAAGATTCAACAAGTTATTCATACTTTGAGACCTTACTTGGTTATCTTCCATTTGACCTTTCAACTCTGTTTTCCAGATGCAGGAAGTAGGTTGTATACCTGGTGATACTCAGAAAAATGTGGTATGCACACCTTTACCCTGGGGTGATAGTTCTCAGACAAGAGGCAATGGCTGCTGAGAAGTATCCCAGGGCAGCCAAAAGCTCAGTTGTGAGACAAAAGCATTCCTTAGACCTTTTCTAGGCATCTTCTGAATGGCAGTTTGCAGAGGGTGTCATTGTAATTCAGCCTGATAGTGACCCTCTGGAGTTCATAAAGAAGTACAGGAGGGCAGGGCAGTGGGGCAGAATGTGCTGGGAGTGCCCTGACCAAGCTGAGTACCAGGTGAGCACTCAGGTGGAGGTGAGAGCCAGGTGTCCCACAGGCCTGGAAGAAAGAGTCTTACTACACAGCCAGGAATCCAAACACTCCACACCCTTGTGTTGGACACTGCAGAGGGAGTAGGAGTTTTCCAGGAGGAGGCATAAAGAGGGGCATCCTATCCACCTATGTTTTTCCTGTGGGGCAGTCACTGGCTCTTGGATTTCCACCTAGGGCCCTGCTAGGGTTTCTGAGCTACTTCAAGTCCCTTAGATTTTGTGACTGTATGCAGTGTGAAAAGTGGTTCTTCTGGGCTTGGCCTACCTGGGCCAAAGCTTTATGTTTAAGAGGTGTGGAGCTACTCAGTACAGAGTAATAGCCAGAGCACATGTGGCTCTTCACATCAACATTAGTGAAAACTACATAAAAGTAAAATTGAGTCATCAGTGATGCTAGCTAGCTCCATTTAACGGTCTCAGTGGTCACGTGTGGCCAGTGGCTACCAAGTGGCCAGCACAGGGGATATTTCCACCATCACAGGAAGCTGTTGCTCTGGATGGAGCCCTGGCATCACACAGAGGGGAGTGAGTGGGGTGTTTCTCCTGCTTGTCCTCAACTCCAGCTGTGTGAACCTGCATGCTGACTGTGCAGGATGCCCAGGAGACATTGTGCACAGAGACATCTGCCTTGGTTCTGCTGTTTTCTGCCTCAGTCCAGCTCCAAGAAAGACCACTGATTGTCCCAGTGAAAATGTGGCTTGTTAAATTAGTAAAGTAAATCTCTCATACCCTTTTTACTACACAGAAACCTTCCTGTGACCTCAGATCAGAGATCTGGTCGGAGGACTGAAGTGTCAGGGCCTTGAGGGGGTAAAGACCACTGCTTGGGAATTCATAGTGGGTGAAGGGAAGCCAGCAGTGATCAACACCGAGGGGAGGCTGCCATGTTAACAGCCCACTGTACCTGGCATCGGAGTCTGCTTTGCTCTCAGGAGTTCCCAGCCTGGGTAGACACAGCCCACGGCTTGGTAGTGGTCATGGCCAGGGTGCCCTGAATGCACCTATTGTTTTGAAGCCTTTTTGACAAAATCATATATGCCAACCTGCACTTTTAGATCCACCAACAGAATGTGTTCCTAAGGACCAAATCCCCATCACAAAGCAAAAAGAACAGAGAAATCACCTGCTTGGATCACACAAAGCCCTGGCCCAATGGCACTCACCTTTGAACCTGCCACCTTTCTGTGCTGTACTCAGAGTTTCCATTATAACCCAGGATTTGCAAGACAATTTTATTGTGTTCTGGTATCTCAGGAAATTAGACAGTGCTAGTATAGTATGTCAGGAGAGATGACAGAGGTTAGGAGGCTTGCAGACACCGTGATTTATGGTTACTATCTGAACTGACTTGAGGAATTTTACCTTAGCACAGGTTTGGTTATAACTTTCCAGACTAATTTTTATTCTAAATATATCTTAATAGCTTCCAGATTTTATAAATTATAACATCTGCTGCATCCGCTGTGGGAGCTTGAAATTTCAGAGTTAGCGTATTGGTAAAGGTTATTATAGGGAGATAGAACTCTTTTCTAGAACACTGATTCTGCCAGTCATATTTTCATGAGCCTTTCATTGTTCAGGAGGATTTCTCATGCCAGTGAATATGAGGTTAGGTTAAGAAAAATACAGTGACTGTTAAGAATTAACAATGAAAGTTATATTATCATTAATCTCCTTCAAAATACTCCTCCTTACTCCCAATACACCGATCCCACCTTTCTTGAAGCTTTCTGAAGTAATTCTGGGACGTCCTCTTTTTTGGGTTAGTGGTCTGTTGTAACTGCCTCATTGTCCTGAGTTGATTCCAAACGTTTACCTTTCATGGTCATGTTGACTCTGAGAAAGAGTCAGAGGTTGCACAGTGCAGATCCAGGGAATAAAGTGGACGAGGAGGCACTGCAGTGTTTCCATCGGAGGGCAGGTAGTCAGCAGTAGCGTGCCCTGTACGTTTCGGTGGCTCCTCCGGTCTCTGCTTTCTCAGTCTCACATGGTGTCTTCAGACCTCTACCCATGCAGTCCCTGCATGGGCTGCTTACTTGTCTCCGTGCTTCCACTTCGGTTGTCACGCATAACTCATCAGAGGCACCGGCTGTGTCTGGGAAGGTGAAACAGAGGTGCTGGTGAGTTCATCTTGGCTGAGGCAGAACAGGCAATTTAACTCCTCCCTTCATGAAAAGTCTGTTTGCAGAAAAGAGAACAGAAATTGTTTCATTTTACCTTGTACTATAGGCGATTAGGGTTCTCTTCCTAATTACTAAGAATCAGAAGGGTCACCCATTGCCTTTTCATAGAAGATTTTTTGCTTGCCTGCTTTCCCAGTAATGAGGTACTGAGCATCACCAGGGAGCTAAGGGTGGAGCAAAGCCAAGAGCTTCAGTTTACTGAAGTGAAAAAGGATATGAAGGGAATGCTGCTCCCTCCTTCCAAATCAGAGCTCGCCGAATAATTCAGCAAGTTACTGTTGGTGCTCTTTCTGTGTGTTTTACATGAACTGTTCATCTGAAGGATTGCAATAGGAATAACAGGAACTTTGGAACATGAATCAAACCTCATGAGCTGGGGAGAAGCTGGTGGGATTCATGAGGCATCAAACTATGACTCTCCGTATATTCTTGTGCTTATGTATAAGAAGTTACTCCTCCATATGCACATATTCCTGAAGATGCTGATGGAGATATGCATTGAGGAGCAATTGCAGTAGAGGGTGCTCTATAAGTCTGCTGTGATTGTGTCACTAACCTGCTGAACCTCCTAGACCTGGCCATCTCACCTTTAGCACTCCTGGTACTGTGCACTGGCTAATTCCTGGTGGTATGAAGTTGTTCTGTGAATTTGAGGATATTTACTGGCGTCCCTGGCCTCTGTCTACTGGATACAAGTCAAAATCCCATCCATGAAGACCACAAATGTTTCTCAGACATCATCCCGCTTAAGAGCCAGTGTTCTGTTGCAAGAGACATCACTCTCTAAGCTGTTGAGTCCTTCGTCACCAGTAGACTACAGGGGTTTGCACAGATCCTCTCAGGTCCCCCTCCCAGCGTGACCATCAAGTTGTCCTGCCACGTTTGCGCCTTGAGCTGAATGCCACCTATGCACACAAGTAGGGATGTGTTCTTCTTAAAGCTGACATAGCTCTCATTTACTCTCCATTCACCTGTAGAATCTCTGTGTATCCAGTTACCAAATGTACCTGCATATTTTATATCCCTAAACCCAAAATACATTTACAGTGGCTCTGATTTTGTTTTTAACTGAAGTTTAGCTATATAGGAGAAGACTCAGGATTTGGCTGATACACGTGTTTTTTCCCCCCTCTCTTTCCCACAGGAATTCTTACACTAAAAAAAGCAAATGAGCTCCTGAGCACAGCCGTGCCAGGCAGTTTCCTGATCCGAGTCAGTGAAAAGATCAAAGGCTATGCCCTATCCTACCTGTCAGAAGAGGGCTGTAAGCACTTCCTCATAGACGCCTCTGCCGACTCCTACAGCTTCCTGGGTGTAGACCAGCTGCAGCATGACACTCTGGCGGATTTGGTGGAATATCATAAGGTAAAGTGATTCATAAACTCAGTTTGCTTTCTAAATTATTGTCCTACAGCAGCTCTAACAAAGAAAGGCAATTATAAGAAAACTGATTGAGATCAGTAATGGGAGGATCAATCTTTGATAATTTTTCCCAATAATAGGGATTCTTAATTGCATTTCTTTTCTCACAAAACCTAGTTCTTCCTCAAATACTCAAGGAGACCCCACTGGGGCAGAGACCATCAAAGATGTTAACAAAGTTGTGCACATACTCACCACATCTGGGAGTAGTCTAAAGTTAGAATTCAAGCCCTAGAGAAAAAGCATAGGGATGAGAATCTATTCAAAGAGTATAATAAACCAGCAAAGCTTTGTATAAATCAAGGATCGAGGAGTCATATCTCTGAGAAAGTAGGAAGGACAATCACAGAGCAACCATCCTGACTGTGTGCCTTCTGATTGACAGGAGGAGCCCATAACCTCCTTGGGAAAGGAGCTCCTGCTCTACCCCTGTGGTCAGCAGGGGCAGCCACCTGACTACCTGGAGCTCTTTGAGTGACAGTGTCCATCTGGGTCATCCTACGACTTCCAGCTGGGTTTTCCTCTTGACTTTTGTGTACGAAGCCAGAGTCACCTTGCAGTGGAGCCAATCTGGAAAGTGTCCCTGAAGTCTTCCTTGAAAGCTCTGTTCTGCACAGACCCTGCAGTTTAATATCAAGGGGAAACAACCTCTGCTTCATCTACACTCCAAAAGTAAAGAGAGGAGTCCTGACTTCAGCCATGACCTAACATGAAGGATGTGACTTTAATAATGGATATAAGATAAAACAAACACAGAAGAAACTGCAACCCTTTGAGTATCTGAGTGTACTTCAAAAACCAATAGCTTCTGTGAACTTTTCTGTGACTTTTCCATTCCCTTTTTGTATCTCAAAAGAACTCAGAGTCCTGCTTATATGAAGTTCCACCTTGGTTTGGGAATGCTGACAAAGAAGCCCTGTGACAATCTTCAAAACATACCTCTCTCACTGTGGGTATGAGAAGCAGAAAAACAACTCACAAGTGTAATACATATTGGACATTTTAAAATGTAGAGTGAGAGGCTTCCCATATATAAAAAATACATATGGATTGTAGGAAAGTGAGCAAGCATCTCTGAGTTTGTTTCCTCATTCTAAGGAATGGGGACAGTGCTTGTGCTGTGTCTGTGGTGCATAGACAAGAACACAAGTCAGCTGTTTGGCTACTACTTGAGTGTTGGATTGTGTTCCCCAAAAAGATACCTTGAAGTCCTAACTCCCGCTATGTGAGTGTGACCTTCTTTGGACATAAGGTCTTTGCAGATGGATATATTTTAAGACAAGGGTAGGACCTAAATCAATGGCTAGTATCATCACAAGGAGAGAGGGGTTTAGAAACACAGATACACATGGGGAAGATGGCCATGGGACAACACAGGCAGACAGGAATGCTGCTGCTGCTGCTGCTGCTGCTGGGCAGGGACACCAGGGATGAGGGGCAACCCCCAGATGCCAGGAGAGAGGCAGGGAACAGATTCTTTCAAGAGCTTCGGAGGAGACATGGACTTGTGGATATTTTGATTTTAGTCTTCTAGCTCCCAGGACTGAGAGAGAAAAAATGTCTAATTTCAGTCACTGAGTATATGGTAATGTTTTACACAGCTCCAGAAAGTTAATATAGTAGCTGATGTAATTATGAATCTGCACACCTCATAGACTCCTTCATAGCGGCACAGTCATAATGAACTAAACACGGGAGATGGGAAAACCCTTCCAACAAAGTAGTTGTTTAGTTCTGGGACACCTGTCTGTTCAGCTAGGAATCCTATGTCCCATAGCAGTGCTACTCACAACCTCTGGCAATTTGTGGTTGAACATTAATCAGAGGAGAACTTTGGATGGGGACTGGGTGGCTGCACCTCTCAATATCACTTTTTTTTTTTGGAGGATGGAGATTTACTTATAGCACAGGTCTGGCTTCATGCATGAACATTCTTCAAAATGGTCTCTCTGATGGTGCTGCTGTGTGTTCATAGAATCATCGGTTGTGTGGCACACTCATGCCCTGTGTAAAATGTTACCAGAGAAGAGGCTGGTGTGTGTTTCAGTGATAAAGCTTTTAAACATACATCATGGTTAACTTGTTTCTTGAAATGTTTTGCATGGTTTCTATTGTTAGATTTTTGTAAGAACTCTTAGCTTTCGTTTCTGCCATTCCACTATTATACAGAAACTCCCTTCTGTTTCCATCACTTCCCACTATTTTCTGTATAATTTTGGACAAGTTTCTTTACCTCTCGGAAACTGCTTTTGCTTCTGAAAGAAGACATTTTTAACTGGGTGGTCTTTTTTCTTTTCGTCCAACTCTGCAGTCTTAAGTTGTATTACTCACTGGAATGAATGAAATAACCATAGTTATGAAGATACATATGATCCCAGCATCACATGACTGTATTATCTGTCTACACTACATGACTGGAGGAAGATTTAGAAAACAGGAAATGACCCGATTGAACTAAACTAATATTACAGGACAGAACATACTTGGGTTCTATACTATTTCCCTGTTGATGATTGATACTCAGAGGAGTAAAGTATCTAGTGTCTGATGATATAATGGCCAGAAATAATGCTTGAAATTCTTTGGGAAACAGAATGGTTTGTGGATTCAGAAATTGACTAAGTGGGGTTAAAAAGGCCAGGATTCAGTGTATAATCCTAGTGATGGTCCAAGGTGACACCCAGACCCTGGCCCTGGTCCCCTTTCTAGTGCCTTACAAGACCAGCTTCCTGAGACACCTCCCCAAAATCTCTTGGTCAGGGATGTTGCCCCCATGTTACTGTCCAGGTCTCAACCCCAAGGACTCTGACCTGCAGATTTCAGAGACTTTGGGTCTGTACCCAAATGCTACTCTTTTTCCGAGTTGATTCTTCTGTCCCTCAATAAGACTCTGGACTCTCCCTCGTTCAGTTATCTCAGGTTTTCTGGTCACTGCTTCTGTATCACCAGAGCTTCTCTCCCAATCATGCCATCTGCAGGGCCCCTGGTTCTTATATCCTGTCCAATTCTGCTGTACGAATTTCCACAGGGAAGTTAGCTTGTCCATTCATGTCACCAGTAGTGCTAGGCCTTGCCAAGATGTGTGAGTTGGCTCCAGTCTTGCTCTAGGAAGTGGAAAAGCACAGGTATAGTTTAGGAGAAAAAGGATCAAGAGAAAGAAAACATGAAGATGGGGAATGGACAGGCCACCAAAAATATCTCCAGAGCATTTACATTTAAAACATTGCCTATCTAAGCTAATGCTTTGGAATTAAGCTACCCTTTTAGTGTAATGGCACATAGTAATGCAACACGAAATCTGCTTTTGGGTTAAAAAGAGAAAACTTTTGGCTTAAATTTTTACAATTTCCCCTTCTATAGAGGTATCTTTCTTAATGCTCTAGAGTCCCAACATGTCACTTTCATACACTCATATCTTGGGGCTCTTGCTATTTAGTGCACAGAGAAGACTCAATGTTGTTTATAGGATATCATGGGTATATGTCCATAGGAACGTCTTTGCTTTCATTTTTGTTAGTAATGTGGTAACTTTTAAGCCAATGTACGTGCCTTTCTTAGAACACAAGTTTTCTACAATCATGTCTTTATGTCATACTTCTATTTGAAGTATCTATTTGGAGATATATAATTGTGTTTTTCTCCTCCTCAGGATAGCTACAAGTCTTACCTTTCTCTTAGCTTTCTGTTTTTCTGTTTGAGTAATATCCCTTACTCATCGTTTTAATTCCTTTTTTTTTTTTTTTTTTTTTGACACCAGGGATCAAACTTGGGTCCTTGAACTTGCAAGGCAGGTGGCAGAACCACTGAGCTAAATCCCCAGTCCTTGTGTTAATTCTTTCTGATGTACTTTAGGAGAACTGCTCATCTCTGTCACTTATTTCCACACAAAAGATTAATTATTTTGCAATATCAATTCTGTATTTTCATATCTCCAGTGGATTTTAGTACTACCATTATGTCTCCTGTTTAATTGCCATCCTTCCTCTTCTTTCCTTATTCAGGGATCTTTACCTCTCACTGCTGTCCATGACTGGAAACTACCAGGAAGCTTAAATAAAGTACTCTCATTTTAATCTGTGATAAAAAGATTATCTGATAATTAAGTAGCTGGATATAGAGAAAACCTAAAAGGTGTGGATTTGGATTCTACCTTTATCATTAGCCATGTGCAATCTTGAAAGAAAAAATGTTAATAAGGCTGTGTGAGCTTTGATTTCTTCATCCCTAAATCAGGAGTTACTAAATACACCTGGGTTCTGAGGATTAGGAAAGAAATGTGCACCTGCCTTAGAGAAATATTTCCATGAACAGTAATCATCCCCATTATCCATTACATTTTACACTCCTGGTACTCTTCACTGTGGTATAGTTTTCAGGTGTGGGGCCAACAAAGCATCCAGGCAGGCCAGGCCCTCTTTATTGACAGTTTATATAACCAATAGGATGTGAACCCAAGTGGCCCATTTCCTAGTTTCTGTTAAGATTTTTTTTTCTTTATCCCTCCCCCCTTTTTTTGGATACTGGGGATTGAACTTGGGATCTTGGGCTTGTGAGGCAGGTGGCAGCACTACTGAGCTACATCTTCAGCCCTCTAGGCAGATTTTTAAGGGGAAAATGATTGACAACACCCAGGTTACTACAGTTGCTCATGGATTACTGATCACAAATCCCCAAATGTCTGCCTACCTTTTAGAAGAGAAAACTTATTTCTTTGGGACTTACTCTGCCTATTTCCCCAACAGGTTACATGGGGCCAGGCTAAGCCTGATGGCTAGTGGGGGTGAGGCCCCACTGCCTTTGTCCATCTAAGTAACCTTTGGGTTTTCTTCAGCTAACAGGATGCCTTTTATGAAGTCTTTTCATCAATTGTGTCAAGACTCCCCACAGCACTGTGCCCCAGGAACCAAATACAGTGGTTAATACCCTCTCCTTTGCTGGAGGGAAACTGTTTTAGTGGTGTGGCAGAGCCCTAGCAAATGCTTCTCAACTAGGCCACTCCTATTTCTGACAGCCCCACACAGCATTGATCTAATTTTTACATGGCTCCGTTTAAGATTAGGAACTGGAAGAAAGAAGAGGTTGTTAAATAAAAATTTCCCTCAACCTTTGCTTGATTTTGAGGGTTTTTCTATTCTTTTGATTTTTAAAATTCTTTTTTTTTTGTGGGGGCGGGTATCAGGGATCGAACTCAGGACCTTGTGCTTGTGACGCTTACAGCAGAACCACTAAGTTAAATCTCCAGCCCTTTCAAATTTTTCTCAAATGGGTTTCAAAGCCATAGCATGCCAGGTAATGTCCCTTACTGTTTTGAAACACCAGTTTGACAGTGGGGTTAGATGCTACAAGGTCAGGATGGAGGGTGAGAGCTGCCCACACTCTACTTACTGTAGTCCAGCCTACAGTGTTGGACTGTCCAGCTGCTGAGGAAGAGAAACAAATTCACATCACTAAACAACCCATACCAGGTTGAGGGACATTTGGTGAGTTCTGGGCAGAGGTTGCAATAGGTGGCCTGACCATCCCTGACTCTCAGGTGACTGTGGAAAAAGGTGCATAGACCACTTTTCTCCCCAGAGTGACATCTGCCCTCGCAGGCTGTGACCTTCTCCACACCAGACCTACCCACCTCCAGTCTCTGGTCCACTCTTATTAGAGCTGCCAAAAAGCCAGATGCAGCCCAGGGGACCCAGGGCTGCTACTCCACAGAGCATGTTGTTTGGAGCCTCAGCAATGCAGAGAACTTCTGAAAGGCACCTCTGCTGACAGGAAAGAACATATTCTGTGTGTTGGAAAAAACCACCGCCCAAACCCCCTAACCAACTGGCACAGTCCCCACAATTTTTGGCAGCAACAGCAAAGCCCTGGGCCTGCTGGGAGAAATAGCTTTGAATTAAAATATAAAGTTAATCAGAATATGGATCACTCAAAGCTGCCAAGTAGCTGATGTGTGTTGTGAGAAAAACACACCCATCCCACTGAGAAGCAGCTCTCAGAAACAGTATCAGGTTCTCTTTTAAAACACGCACACACACACACACACACACACACGTAGTCCCACCTGCTCTTCCCTCCTACTCAATATGGTTTTTAAATGTCATATCTTGGAATTCTGCATGAGAGCTGTTCCTGGATCACTGTGTTAACACATTCTCATGCCTTCCTTGGCTGTCTCAGGTGGGGCTGGAGATATAGGGGCAGAAAAATGGTAGGAGACCAAAGCACAAAGAGAGCAGACTCTGGACTCTCCAAGGCCAGAGCTCTTTTCTCCACCTGGACATGGCCAAGGGATAGAAAGATCACACCACACAGTGCTCACTTGATTCTGGTTGAGCCTCCTTACAAATCTTTTAACATTTCCAAGCTTCAATTTTCTGCACCTGAAAAATGGAAGTAATGATAGTACTTACCTTGTAAGCTTGGTGTTATGAACATGTTTCTTGGCTATATTCCTTACTTCAAAAATGTCCTTACTTCAACCTAGGGGAATCATCAACTCCAAATTATTGAGCACAGAATTTAAGGTAGAAATTATCATTACATTTTACACTCCTAGTACTCTTCTCTGTGGTGCAGATAGAGTTTTCAGAATGACAAAAACAATCTCTAATGCATGGTCAGTCTGTAGTGGTGCTGATTTCATCCAGGAAGTGCTGGACATACTGAGCTCAACACTTGCCAGGTAGAGTCATAAATGAGGAGCTGTGTGCTAAATACTGACTGGACATACACAACTGTTATGCGTCTGCTGTGTGTGACACTTCCTGAATACGTTACCAATATTGACTCATTTAACCTTCACAACAATCCTACGATGTAGATGTGATTGCATTCATTATTCATTACCCTGACTGAAAAAACGGAGGTACAGAGATAGTAAGTGGCTCATTTAAGATCATATAGGTTTCACCTGAAAGAACTAGAATTTGAGGAGTGGCATGGTGCATATTCCTTAAATCTCAGCACTCAGGAGCCTGAGGCAAGAAGATTCCAAGTTCAAATTCAGCCTAGGCTATACAGCAAGACCGTGTCTTAAAAAAAAAAAAAAATGGACTGCAGATGTAGCTCATTGGTAGAGCATTTGCCTGGAATACATGAGGCCTGAGTTCAATTTCCAATACCACAAAAGAAATGAAATAATATGTAAACAAAGAAATAAAATTTATAGCAGGGCATGGTGGCACATGCACCTGTAATCCCAGCACAAAGACAGGAGTATCGCAAGTTGGAACCCAGCTAAGGCAACTTAGTGGTTTAGAGTCTGTACAAAGGTCAAGTACACAAAAAAAAATCACAAAGAAACAAATATTGGAACTTAAATCCTGCTTTTCTAGCTGGAAAAGCCATGATATGAATCACTCACTGTACTGAATTCTGGGAAGATTAGATAAAACTAGATAACGGATGACTTTTCTTGAAAACAAATTAGTAGAGCAGGTTCTGCGTAATTATTTCTGTAGGTCAGATTCTCTCATTACTGATGTGTGGAAAGAGGCAAGCACATTTATCACTATCAAGAGGGGCTGGAAGGTAGAAAACTGGAGGCAAAACAGCAAAAGGAGGCCAGGTTCCTCAGTTGGAGGCAGTGGTGTTGGTGAATAATTAACAATCAGTTGGGGGAAAAGGTATGGGGTGGAGGGTAGCAAGGCTTGATTAGTAGCATTTCTCAAATGCCAATATGCATGGTGTAAATGCTACTGTGGCTTATTTCAATATGCCAACCTGTCTTTGGAAAGAAGCTGGAAAAGACACTAATTGGCTCTGATACAGCTGCATCAGTACCAGTGGGGGAGATTCTAGACCACAGCTCAGAAAGATACCTGGTTAACAGGAAGCTGATGGGAGAGAGATAGAGCATGGGTGTGCAGAGTAGGAAAAGGGCTTCACCCTGTCCAATCCTCAGCGTGTCCTGGCAGCATCCTTCCTGTGCAAGACACAATGTGCCAGGTCCTTCAAACCAACTTCATTACTGCTCTCCTTTGCTGTGTGAGTTTAACTTTCAGCATCCTATTTATGCATCAGTCGGGCTTTTTCTTTTACTTATGCCTCAGGCAGAGCATGGAGACAGATCACTCGACTGTATTTTCCAAGAGCCTCTGTCCTTCCATAAGGCTGCTTTACCTGGATAAGCTTTAAAAAGAAATAAAGAATTGAGTAGGCTATTTACCTCTTCAGCCACTCTCAGTAGTTTTTAAAGCTTACTTTTTATCCACTGTCCTGGCCTTCTGTGCCATGCAACATAAACAAGCACAAAGGGCAGACTAGTCTGCATAGTGCAGCCCAGCACCACGGCTGTGAGAAACTCTTAGACCTGCCCAATTCTGTGGTGTATATATTTGATCACTGCTACCAGGCCTGTTGGAAATGCATCCTCCTGACCCTGATCAGTCACAAATCCACCCAGATCACTGCTGGGACAAGCCAGACAGTGTCCTGAAGCCTCTAGGATTACCACAGTATAAGAAAATATTAAGTACAGAGTGGAAAGGAGGCTTGCAAAGCACATCTCAACTCCCTGTAATTCAAAAGGCCAAGCAGTTCAGGCTTTTCATTGTGGTCTTCTTCCTCTTGCCTGGTATTGATTCCTAGGGGATATGTGACAGGGACTGGAGGCAGCTCTTCCCGTCTAGGTGTCCGAAAGTGTTAAAGACATTGGATTTCAGTGATATACACATACCTCTATTTATAGCAGCGCAATTCATAACAGCTAAATCTTGGAAGCAGCCTGTATGTCCTTCAACAGATGAATGGATGAGAAAAATGTATTTATACACGATGAAAGTACTAATTTCCATAACGAAAGTCAAACTTGAGTCACAAGTAGGAAAATGGTTACATTTTGAGACCACAGTGTTAAGTGAAATAAATCAGAAGCACAAGCTTAAATACAGTGGACCCTTAATTTATGAACTCAGTTCTGTCTCAGAGGCTGTTTGTAACTCAAGTTGGTCAACTGAAAGCTCAAGCTCTTCTACCCAGCCTTCAAAGTCTCGGTAGATCTCAGTGTCCTTAGAGAGACCCTGGCCCAGGATTTCTCAATTAACCCCACACAGGAAAGGATGCTGCACTGTTCCTTCCAGAACTCTTTAAGGATCAAGTTTGTATATGAGACCATCTGGAAGCACAAGCAGCCGGCATTCAGGTCATAACTCAATACTGCACTTGAGTCATAATTCAAGACCCAAAACTCAAGTTAAAACTAAAATTCTGGTCATAACCAGAGTTGTTTGTATGTCAAACTGGTCATAACGCAAGGGTCCACTGTATTGTATGATTTCTCATACACGAGAAACCCAAAATATGAATATAAAGAAAAGTACAGAAAGATAATATCTCTCCCAAATGGGAAGGGAATCAACAGATGGAGGGAGGTGAGGAGGGGAAAGGAGGGAAAGGGGAGGAAAAAAAGCATTAAGATGTGTTTTGTACACACACCCACTCCCCACAAGGAATGTAAACATTATGTACTGCAAACATAAAGAAAGAAAGATAAAAAGAAAGAGAAAGGAAGAACTTTGTAGAAAGAACTTTGTAGGAGACATTTCCGGCATCTATGGGCTAGAGGCCAGGTAGAAATACTTTACCTGTCCTACATGCCTAGCACAAACCCAGCAATCACACCCAGCAAAGAATTACCTTGAGAAGTTCTGATCTGCTCATAAAAATGCTTTCCAAAAACTGAAGACATAGCGTTATTATTCCAAGAAGAAATCAAATCCACAAATCATATTTTATTAGCTCTGCAATACCACCTTCCATATATGTCTTGTGTTTTAATTAAGTTTTATGAAGTACCAGTACAAATCAATACAATGCCTTTTCTTATACCAACAGTTTGAATGCTCTTGAAGCTTTTAAACAATGAGTTTACTGTAGGCAAACAGAAGGAAAGGAATCAGAGATAATTAGCTCATGCGTCTGGTGCTGGCTAATAAATAAATAATCCTCACATGGATGTAGAAACCACTCAATGTTGACTGTACTTATTTTTAAAAAAACACTTTGAAACTGTAATAAAATGCAATATTCAGAAGCCTCTTGATGACTGAGTAGAACTGCTTAATTTTAAAAATAATTGAGTTATTTCCACCTAGCCCGGGGTGAGTGAACATGTAGCAAAAGCTTCCATCTCACTGGACTCTGGAAAGTAGATTGAGTTTTTTTCTCCTGCTTTTCTTCTAATGGAAGCCAGAAGCCAGGAAAAGCACCCTGCTTTGAAAAGAGATTGTTTGGTTCATAACTTTGGTTTATTTCAACGGGTAAGAAAGTGACTTTTAAATATATCAAGTTATTGTCAGTCTGAATGCATTTCCTTTCCGGTAATGTGAAAGTGTCTTCGCCTTTTCCTCCAGTGTTCAGCTGTTCCTCTTCCTGCCCATTTTATCTTCAGATAAAATATCTACACACCTCTTTCTCAGTGGCCCAGCCGGGCTTCCCCTTGGTCTCAAGGCCTTCAGGGCTGCGCAGTATGCACATTTGGCCAGTCCTGGAATGTACTTCCAATCTGATATTCTGAACTGAAAGTTCTCACGAGGCATCTAAAAATATCTTCTTAAAAAACATAAACATATATATGCTAACTTGTGCTCTCTTAGTAAGGCTTGCAAATTGATAATTAAATAAGCAGTCACAAGCAAAAAAAAAGTGCATTTTTAAATAAACAAATGGAGATGGTTAAAAAGATGACTCGAAAGATAAGCAGATGATTTTTGGTTAATCGTGGGGAAAAATGACACAGTATTTATGGTTACTGCTCCATCTGGTCCATCTGACTGCCTATGGTCTTCATGAGGCTTATGAGAGTGGATCACCACATTTGACTTGGTTTCCTCTGCTGCCTTCCGAGACTTCAACATTCCTACCATTGAAGCCTCACTGATAGAGGAGTCATTCATATGAGGAGAAATGTGCTGCCTTTCATGCTAATGAACTCTTTACAAAACTAGTCTTAATTCATGAATATTTCAATAAGCATAGGAAACAAGAGATCTCATTTTGTTGTAAACACAATCAAAACCTCCACACCACCAGGCTTATCATCTCCCAATCATTCTGCCTTTGTCAGACACTTCTCGGGTGCATTTGGGCTGTGTTTGCAGGCACAGTGGAGATTTTAATTCCTCTTGCATAAAAATGGAGAAAAATGGAAGGCTCTCTCCTCTCATCTCTTACTAATCAGTCAGATTCTCTTTGCGCCCTTTATGGCGGTCTTTTCCTTGTTGCAGCCATTTTTTGGTAATTGCAAAAGGAAAAAAAGTGTCTCTCTGAATCCAGCCCCTAGAAGTTCATGTTTTCTTGCTGCTGGTCTTCTGTTTCTGTTTGCGCAGGTGAGCCTCTATCTCGTGCCGGAAGACCAGCATCCCAAGTTGCCCATGGGATGCCTCGTTCATGGCCTTGGACTGCATGCACATCTTGTACTGCTCAGGGGTCAGCTCGTCCACACAGCGCTTCTCATGCCAGAGGTGGAAGAGTCCCCGAACGGGCGTCCGCACCACTATGAGGTTGCTATGGAGATACTTGCGATACAGGTGCACGTCCTCTCCACCCCAGCCTTTGATATCCAAATCAAATCCACCTGTCAGGAGAGAACGCACCGTTTAATAGCACCTACATGCATATCTTATCTATCTGGGCTTCTCTGCGCTGCACAGGTACAGAACTTTCCATGAAGAGCCATTGGGCAGGGATTGCTTTATCACTCCGCCAAGTTACTGAGCTGCCAACAGGTCAAGGGACCCCGGCAATGCCCATCAGACTTGACTTTCCCAGTGGACAGCACAGATTTCTGGAGATAACAAGACCATGGACAGAATTCTAAGCATTTGCTCACTCAAAAGAGCTGGGGGCAATAATAACAGATGGCCCTGACCCAGAGCTAAGAGCTTCAGCAGCACCCAGTGCGAATTCTTGGGTTTCTGTCTGGATGTGGCTTCCTCCTGCCACTGCAAGCAGAATACGGAGGGGCTTCAAGGGTGTAGGAATGAAAGGAGATTTCAGATCAGAAAAAATCATGCCCCCCAAAAGAACTCTTCTTTTCACACATGGCAATGACCCCGAGAGGCTGCATGATGGTAAAGTGAGTCACGTTAAGAGGTTTGGCCTCAGTGTTGGTTTGGATGTTTTAGGAAAGAAACTAATGAATTCCTTTGCAAAGTCTGTCATCGTCTGCCGAAGTCTCACCTTTGTAAACTGGGGCATCCTTCTCTCACCGAAAGCCCACCAGGTCCCATACAGAACCAACAGCCTTTTTATTGTTGTTCCTTTCTCCCCTAGGAGATGTATTCAGGTCTTGCAGGAAACAGCAAAGTGACTTTTGGCATCGCTCCTCAGATGTTCTCCTGCAGATCTTTCATTCCCTGCACACCCCCAGCCACACTGATCTGATCACGGCTGTGCCTACAACTGGGGAGCAAGGCTCAGGCACCGGAAACTACAACCAACCAAAGAGTCCCCAGTTACTGGCCTGATGACTGACGTGGTGTCTCAGGAGGCAGGCAGAGAAAAGGGACCAATTCCGAGTCACTGGGCCAGGATTTGTGTCTTAGTCCTTTTAGAAGCTGCCACTTAACCGCTCAAATTTTAGTTATCTTTTTTTAAATCTCTAAGTGAAGTATCATAACCCAGTAAGGTAGTTATATAAGGCTAGTGCTTGGATGACTGTAGGCAATTTATTCCTGTTACTGTTATTACAGCTTTTTAAACACAAGACCCACTTGCCGATAAGTACAAGACTGTGAAGATGGGCTCTTCCAGGACACAGAGCTCTGAGGTCAGAGGACGGGCCCCTTCCCAGCCTGCCTTGCCCTGCCATTTGGGGCACAGTGACATTCATCTTTAGGAGAATCCAATATGATACACATATCAGGATGAATCCAAATTTGATAAGCATCCTCGCAGGATCATCTCTTTACAAAGAGTGGAAAATGTTTTAAAATATCATTTTGGGGACTCTGAATGGACATAGTGACTTAGGAATATTTAGAGGCACCGAGGAACACCCGTGGTCAGTTGTTGGGTATCCTTAGAGCAGCCACCAGTGGTCTGGTGCCTCTTGTGGGACTTAAACTAAAGTGTTTTGTTGTTGTTGTTGTTGTTGTTGTTTTGTACCAGGGGAGAAATCCCTGGCCGCTAAAGGTTGTTTTATCCCCCTCTGCCCTCTCTTTTTCTTTCTCCCTCCCTCCTTCCATTCATCCCTCCCATACTTCCCTCTCCCTCTTTCCATCTGTGATCTTTCCCCCTGTGGTCCTCTTGCCTCACCTCCCTAGTAGCTGAGATTATAGGTACAGTATATACCACCCTGTCCTATCTTTTCCCTTCCTTTTCTTTCTCTTCCCTTCTTCCTCCCTTTCTCCTCCCTCCGTTTCTCCCTCTCCTCACTCTCTCCAAGAGCCTCACCCCTGCTAGGCAAGGACTCTAGCACCAAGCCACACACTCAGCCCTTCTATTTAACCTTTAGTTCATGTCATTACTGGGAAAAAAGAGCAAAAAACAAAACAAAACAAAACAAAACAGCCAAACCTGAGGCTGCTCCTACTCCCTGATTTTAAAACAAGAAGCTTAGAAACTTCTTGGCCTTGAGCCCGAAGCAAAGGTGGGATACTGAGAGAGAGAGCAGAATGCAGTTCCTGGGGCCCTGGGAAGGAGCACTCCAGTGCCTTGTGGACAGGGCCTCCCTGGCCATCAAACCCTCCGTTGAGGTTCTCAGCAGATTATTTCTTACTACAGTGGTATGGGACCCCATTCTGTTCTCTTCAGAGGCGCGTGCATAAAACTGCTAAGGGGAAGCAGTGAGGTATTTCCAGGGGGACCCGCTGTCCTCATCCCATGTTTCTCGCTTGCTGTGAGGCCTGGGGTGGTCCCTCTACCTTTGGGAGCCTTGGTCTGTTTAGCTGAATCCTGCCTTTTTGCTCTGCACTCTGGAAACCTACGGGTGTGTGTGTACACGCATGAATGCATGCATGTACATAAGGACACAAATGCACACTCAGGCTGGGCTTGGTGATATCTATAACTTTCCGCACCTTCCAAGAGACTGAGTCAGTCTGCATAGGAGGCTCCCAGCCAGGACCCACACTAGAGCCCGACATGCCTGAGGACCAACCCCAAAGCTGCGTTTGTACAGCACAGGGAAATTACTCCATGCTAGTGGAGACTACAGGGACCAAAATGCTGTAGGCTCCCAAGGCCCCTCTCATCTAGCCTGCAGCAGTGACGCGAGAAATACATTTTTAAAGGTAATGGCTCCACCTTGACCTCCAACTCCTGGGAAACCTGGGGGATTCTCTCAAGGGCTGTGTGCAGAGCAGCCTCCAGGTGGCAGTAGAGACGCAGCTGTGTCTCACCTATGTTGATGAAGTCTGAGCGATACTGACAGGTCATCCCAAATCCAAAGTCTCTCCAAAATCCAGTTTCCTTCTTTATGACCTGCAAAGAAAGCACGATCAGCCAGGGATTTAGCTCAGTGGTTCTGCCGCCTGCCTTGCAAGCACAAGGTCCTGAGTTCAATCCTCGGTACCAAAAAAAAAAAAAAAAAAAAAAAAGGAAAGCACGACCAGACTGGTGCATAAAACAGAGTACTCACAAACTCATGAGAATAGCATCCCATATGGAGCCCCGCCCAGTCCTGAGAAACTGCCACATGCCTGTGTGGAAGAGAGATGCACCCGATCCTTACAGACAGGAACACGGCAACCTCACCAGCCTCTGAGCAGGGCCTTGTGAATTGTGGCTTTGGCACCTCTGGCTGGAATGTTTCTAGGGTGTAGGCATGAACCACACAGCACACAGACACAAACACACACAATCAATCAAAAACGTACCAGGAGAACAAGTTTTTGGACAGTGCCATGGAAAAGCCACCTACGTGTCTGGACCCATATCAGTGCCAACAAGAAGCCCAGGCCTTGGCCCTGCATGCAGGACTGGGCAGGGAGCCAGCACAGGGCTCAGGAAGTTGAGAGAAAGGATAGAGAACAGTTTGGAATTCAGCTGCTCTGGCACAGCCCACAAACAGGACTCCTTGGGGAATAAAATGAAGTTCCCAGGGGACTCCCGGTCTTGCCCTGGCTCTCCAACTCTGCTACCTCTCACTCAAGGAGGAAAAGGGTGCTCAGAGGGCCAAGTTCTGAAGAAAGACTCAGCTCATCCATCCAGACACTTTCAAACCCAGCTGCTCCAGAAAGCCCACACAGAGGTCCCAGCCTGCAGGGCGGCCCAAAGGCCATCCAAGCAACAACTATCTATTTAAAAAAAAAATAAAAAAGAAAAGAAAGAAAGAAAAAAGCAAGACCTGGCTCTGTTCAGTCTCGTACTTTGCAAATAAATTTCCTATTTCCTTGCAAAGTAGATTTTGCTGAGGCAGTGTACCAACACTGTGAAATTTATATATATTTTTCAGGCAGAGTTGATTCTGGAAATGGTTTTGAGATCTTAATAGTTATTTTTTTGCCATTTGTATAGGTGATCAGAGGAAATAAAGTTCCTTTCCCTGGGATAGAGCATGGGAGGCTGCAGCAGGGCCCCATTCCGGACGTCGGGCTCTGTTGGCCGCCAATCTGGAATAGCAGCATGCGAGGGGAGAGGGACGGGTGGCAAAGTCTTGTCCCACTGGAGCACTGGCCAGCCTTTTCACCTCAGCCAGGTCCCAACATGTCTGCAAGCCTTGGTTTCTTTGCTGTATCATGTGGGGGTTTAGCTAAATCACCCCTTTAACATCTGAGCATCCTATCCCTGTTAGTCCATCTTCTGGAAGCTTTGAAATGGCATAAATTATATTTGATGAACAGCTTGCAGAAACGTTGAGGAAGCTTAACAATTTTTTTACTCTGGAACCCATGAAACCTTCTTATTTTCACTGCAAGCTATTGGTAAGTGTTACTTACACCAGTTAATCTGCATCAAGATCACCTAAGGAAAGCCTGGGCCAGTGAGGTTTGTGGACCATGTTCTCCCATGTCATGTCTCCAAAGCCACTTCAGACAAATGGCTGTCCTACCACATAACAAGAAAATGTCATTCATATCAGCTGGAAGGAATCAGCTTTCAGACAAGGCAGGAAAGTCTGGAAAAATACACACTGGGTCATCTTTTAAAAATGGATTTTGTTCCATCCTTGTCATCCCAGCTTCACAGTTTCTGTTGAGGATAAAGGCTTAGTATTCCCTGTGCTGGTCTGGATGCAAACAAGTTCCCTAAGCTTTTGGACAAAAGGGGAGTTGGAGAGAAGTGCCAGTATCCAGACTTCAGCTATTTGGCTGAGGAATACACGGAATTTAAAAAAGAAAGCTCCTCCACATAGGAAAGGCAATCAGCCAGGGCTTGGGAAGAAGAAACAGTCTCCCAGACTCTGGACTGAATCCATGTACTTCCTGACAAGGTCAAACAAGCTGAAGGGTGATCCTCACCTGAGGACAATGTGACAGTGACAAACTGATTTATGACCCAGGGAACAAGCTATAGAAACAGGTACAAAAGTTGGTTTTAAAGCTGGCAACCTGCAAAAAGCCATTATGTAAAGAGCTCATTTAAATACAGCCTTTTGTGGAAACCCATTTGGTTGTGCCCACAGCATATAATTTCAGGGCAAAATGGAGTTCACTTATTAGAGGTTCCGCCACCACAGCTGGCCATGCCACTAACTGGAATGCTGCTCTTGCCCAGAAGCCCAGTGCAGTGAGTGTTCTCGACCTCATGTCCAATACTGCCACATTCCCACGGAAAGCCCTGCATGGCTTCTGGGTACGAGGAGAATAAAGTCCTCTGGCTCTCTTCAGCTTGGCCTGTCTGCACCCCACTGCCCTTCTCACTCTCCCTGTTATACACAACCTTGTTCCCACTGCATCCCCAAACTCCCTAGGACCACATGCTTCCAGAGAAGGACCCCTACAGTTCCCTGCCTGGTCACCCTTCCTCTGCTGCTCAGAGTAACCATCTGATCCCTCTGACCAGTGTCAGTGGACCTGCCAGCCGCATGTCCCTCTCTCCTCTCAGCCTGGTCTGCCTTCACTGTAACACTCATGGCTTCCTGATTATATTGCCGATTCATGTGTTTCTCGGTGGGTGGTCTTCAACCACCACTAGCAGTGAATGTAAAAGTCCAGTCTTGGCCTCATTGGCTGCTGCATCTCCAGCCCCAGAACACTGTCCAGCACACAGCCAACAATCCATAGATACTTCCTTGCTGAACACAGGGAGACCAGGCCTGGGCAGAGATGGTTCCCACCTAGGGAAACAGATACGCTTCAGGAGGAGACAGTGTCAGCAAGCAGTTCAGCAAAGCATAGGAAGTCCAGGGTTGTCAACTCTCAGTACTGTGTGGCTGTCGACCAACAGGCAAAACTGTTTTCGCTTTCTTGGGGCCTAAGGCTTGACTCCTTAGGAACTTTGCCTTGGAGCTCCTTAGGAGCTCTGCCAGGATGCTCTATTTGAGCATAAGAATATAGTCACCAAAGGTGTCTACAATGCAGGTGGAGAAAATCCTTAAAAACAAAGTTGCACAGGCTGGCTTCAAACTTGTGACCCTCCTTCTTCAGCCTCCTGAGTAGCTGGGATTATGAGTGTGCACCACTGTGCTCAGTATGCCATCGTCATCTTTACAATGCATTTCAAAGGCCCTGGCCTCCTCTTGCTCTCCTTGCACACCTTTCCTCCCCACCTCAGAGCATGCAGGGCCTGAGTACTCCACAAAAGGACGGTTATCAGGCCGGCTTTCTTGCAGGAAGTTTGCAGAGCCATAGCTCCATGGGTGATCCACACACTGGGTGATTATTTTCTATTAGGAACAAAACACAAATCACAAATCAGCATCTCTCCCCAGAGCTGTGGGAAGCGTCTACCCTGCAGCTGTACAGGGAGCCGGAGGCAGGCAGCGCCAGGCTGCCTTAATGGGACTGACTTGGACAACTGCCCATGAAGCAAGCTGGACCCTGAAATAAAGTAAATAACAAACACTCAGGCAGAGTATCTCCTCTAATGCACACTTTCCCGAGCACCAGGGCTGGTCTGGTCGGCCTTGCGTTCACCAGCGACGCCTGTGGGCTGGAATGGGTATGGGCAGGAGACCCATGCAGTCACACAGGGTCTCAGGCTTGGAAGACCCCAGTCTTGCTGCTGCTGTCTGAAAATTCTATAATACTTTTGGAACAAGGGTCTGCATTTTCATTTTGGTCTGGGACACGTGACTTAGGTAGCAGTTCCTTCCCTGTGAGCATCGAGCACCATGAGCTGTGGGTCTGGCTGGGGACTGTACTGCACATTTTTGTTAGCCTGAGGGCTCCGTGATCACAATGCACAGGGTCCAGGAGGGCTGCATGTCTCCTTCTTGTGGTCTCCTACTATAGAGGTAGAATGCCTTGTTCACTTTCAATTGGCCTATTGCAATTGAGCCCAGAGGAATCCTAAGATTGCTATGGCCATCCCAGATCCATTTCTTGAGAAATAAGTACTTTGGAGCCACTCAAAGAATTGATGTAAGAATGGACTCAAATGCCTCCACCTTTCAGGTTGGTCCTAACTCATATTTTCTGCAAGTCTTACTTTATCATTATCTGCATATAAATGATTTTTTTTTTGTACCAGGAGATGAATTCAAAGCCTCCTCAGTGATCAACATCTTCAGTTCTCTTTTTTATTTTGAGACAGGGTCTCCCTAAGTTGCTAAATTGCCCAGGCTGGTCTGGAACTTGTAGTCCCCCTCCCTCAGCCTCTCAGAGTACTGGGATTGCAGGTATGTGCCAACTCTGCCCAGCTATGATCGTGACCTCTAGGAGTGCTGAGCAGAATGCTCTCATTTTCAGCAGTTCGACTCTCTGCCATGTTCCAAGCACTCTGCAGGCAAAGGACGTGTCTCCTGCCTCTCAGACGCTCAGTCCAGGCTCAGCTCCAAGTCATGGCACCTGAGTTCCTGCCCCGGCCACTCGGCAGCTATGGGAGTCCAAACAAGTAACAGAAGCACGCCGAGCCTCACATTCCTCCGGGATGAACTAAAAACATTGAAGCCTTACATGGTAGGGGATAATGTGGGCACAGAGTGGGCTCATGAAAGGGCAGCCATTAATACTATCTTTGTTACTTAGTGAGTGTATGCTTTTGGAATAAATAAAAATAGACCACAAGGATGTGCCGGATGGACGATGCTGGGTAGACACTTGTAAAAGGCTGAAGCCTAGGTCAGCAGTAGCATATTGTTAGAAGGGAGCCGGAGGAGGTGAAGACAGGAGCTAGCATACTGTGTGCTCCATGGCCAAGTTGGGAATTTGTGGTGGACAATTAATCCCAGTAAGGAATCAGGGCTTGTGGTGCCAAACTGGAGCCAACCAGGGCCAGTGCACAAGAACATGTGAACTGTAACGTGAGACAGGTCAGGGTGGCAAAATTTACACCATGGAAATTGGCAAACGCCATCAATCAGGGCTCCCTCCCTCTTTCAGAGAGTGGGTTGTTAAACACTTATCAGCATGTGGCTGGCTTTATGCCATAAAGGTTTTTTTTTTATTTTAATGGAATTAACCTGTGTTTTTGAAACATTTCTCTAGCAGAGGGTAAAGAAAAAATTGCAGTATAGAAGAGGGTCACAATCTAAAGACAGAAGCAGAAGCAGTAGGTGGCCCCTGCAGGGACCTAATGAAGAGCTAAAAATGTGTGGCCCGAAAAGTGGAATGCCTAAAGGGTACATTTATTTAAATTAGCCATACCTTTCTATGCAAGCTGTATCCATATCACAGCACCGGCAAGTTTTAGCTCATGTTTTAAAGCTCAAAAAATTATACGTTAGTATAAAATCCCATGATGTCCCTTATTGCTAATGATCTGTACTCAAAGTAAAGGAATAAGTTTCCTGAACATACCAAAAAATCATAAATTCAGTCCCTTGCTTGTATCTGCAGCCAAACTATAAAATGACAGTGGCAATAGTCATGAGAAGTAATAACCAGCACGCTGACAGACGAAGTCATATTTGCAGGGCTGCTGGGGAAGGTTGTCTCTTATTTGCATAAGTAAGTAACTTTTATTGCAGCTGCATTTTAGACCTGTGTCCCCCCTCATCTGTGATTCTCATGTATTCCAGGGGAAGGCTATCAGGATTTCTTAATATATGTGCAGCATCTTTTTCAAGACTGAGCCAAAATGCACCCTCAGGAGGAATCCTCTCCTAATTTCTCCACCTCCAGTCATCACTTTTTATTTTATACGTTCTTACCACCTACATTCTCTGTCTCCATTACATTCATTTCTGCAGTTTAACGTTCGCCTTTGGAGTTTTCATCAGGATATATTCGTTACACTTCAGCTCTCATCTTGATCCTCAGCAAATCTATTTCCACTTCACTAGTGTGAAGAAATCCGGGCTTGGGGCTGAACTCTGCCATAGGCTAGTTGTCCAATCATGGACTAGTCATCCCTCCTTGATAGAAAGAAAAATTGAGCAAAACCCTCACAGAGCCTGTGAAAGTAGAAACATTTGCCATCCTCCACCAGCAGGGAGATTAGCCTTTGGAAAGCAGCAAGTGCCTATGAAATGTTTTGTCCAATAAAAAGCATACTCATATTTTTCTTTTACGGTTGGGGGACTTTCAACTTGCTGTGTTTCATTAGACTAAATAGCCATAAACACTGAACTATGAATTAGCAGATTTAAGAGATCCAAATGCTTTCAGGAGTAAATGTGGGATGTGGGATAATTCAGAGACCCTAGTGTGGACTCAAGGATTTGGAGTTGCTTCTGCCTTGACCACCAAGGTCAAAATCTGAGGCTCTGAGAGACCTGCTGATTCGTGCTGTCTTTCTAACTTGCCTGTGTACCTGCTTCTCTGCAGAAGTAATAATGGAAGAATAAAACTTACAGATTGTGAAATGAAAAGAATTCCTTGCAAGCAAATAAAGTGTTCATGAGTTTGAACTAGAAACATTCATCACTTCTGATGTCAAATTCAAAACCAACGGAACACTGATTGGTTGAAAGAAAATGAATGCTCTATCTATCCTATTTCCCCCTAAAACTCAAGAAGTTTCTGTCTCAATGGAGAGAGATTGCTTATAAGAAGGTGAGAATTGGTTTCTTGGGGGGATAAAAATGTGTGGTTTTTATGTATGAGGCACAGATACAGATACAGCACATCAACAGATACACAGAACATATGTGATGTTAAAATACCATGGGGAAAGAGGGCTCTCATTCCTTGGTGTGCTGCCTGGTTTGAGCCCACTGAAACCAAGGGAGGATGTGAAGGAGAAACATATCAGTTGTTCACTGAGGCTCCCAAAGCATCCATGTTCTGGAAAAGCTGATCACATCAGCTGCAAGAGGTTAAGTGAAGGCAGAAAGGTGAAAGGTAAGGACGGGCATGCAGAGAACCGGTTTTGCTACTTCCAGAGGCTTAAACACAGGGTCGGTCACCTTTTTAGGTGACTTCCTTTTTAGGTGAATTTCCTGGAAATACACAAAAGCCCTATTTCCAGTGCAAACCTATTTACTCTCCTGTTGCACGGGGTAAGGGAGACTTGGTCATATCTGTCTTCACATTCTGCACCAGAGTTCCTTCCTCCTCCCTGAGGGGTATTGGGTGGGGAGCAACTTGGCTTTGCCACAGCAGGAGGCAGAGATACCCAAGACAGAGATGAACAGGCAGCCCCCCCCCCCCCGGCCTGCCCCACCAGCTCCCAAGGGCCTGCTGAGACTCAGCGTAGGGCAAAACACAGATGTGCCCAAGCCGGCCAGTGTCCCCGCAGGAAAGACCATCGCCCAGCATGAGGCTCTGCTGATGCTGGCAGTAATAGAGCAGCCCTCCCTTCGCTGAGGTTTTAGCTGCTATATTCAATCACAGTCTGGAAATGTTAAATGAAAAATTGCAGCAATAAGCAATTCACGAGTTGTAAATGATGCTCAACTGTATTTTCATTATTACTCTATCATTATTTCTTACCATGCCTAATTTACAAATTAAAACTTTATGACAGGGATGTGTATGTGGGAAAAAGGATGGGACACAGAGGGTTTTCTGCTAGTGGAGGTTTCAGGCATCCATGGGGGTCCTGGAACATATCCTCCCCAGTCAGGAGAGCCTGTGTAATGGGAGGGACGTGGCCCCATGCGGCACAGAAATCACCTTCCGGTCGGCCTCCTTCCCCTGCTGCCTGTGCTGCTCCCTGGGGGATGGATGCAGTGACACAGACATCTCTGCTTACGGAGACTGGAGACTATGTGGCTCCCCTATCCATAGCGGTTCAGGCAGGATCTTGACAGAAGCAGACAAGTCTCTCCAACACTCCTGGGACAGCCACCCTGCCACGACCCCTCTGATGTCAATGTGCACCAGGCACAGTGATTGCACCGATGGTGACAGAGGAGGCCAGGGGCCAAGGGTGCACCCCCAGGGGCCTGGGGTTGGCTACCCCTTTCTAATATCTGTTTTCCACCTGACAAATGGTAACATGAATCCCACACCTTTCTTACCTGGCAAGATTTTGAAAATGGGCCCCAGCCATAATGCAGTAATACCAGTTCCCCCAAACCATCGAAAAAAACCATGAAGATGTGAAATTACCCGCCTGGAAGGTGCTTTTTCTATTTCACGTTCACTTTTTAATATTGCAAGCACTTTCAATCAACAGATGCTGGGAGCAAGGGCCAGAACATCTGCCAAACTTAAAAACTACAAAGGGAATCACTCCACAGATTCCCACTCACCTTTCCCACGGTCAGGTGCCCCGGTAATGAGAGACATGAAACAGACTCACACAAAGGCATCTGCAGCAGAATGACTCACCAGCTGCTGTTCTAGAGGTGGGATGGCATCATGATGGCCGTAGATTATACCAGGGTTGTACTGACTAAAGAGGACTGGATAAAACACCTTCTTCCCTACAAACCAGAAAATACACATTGGCTAAACACAACAGATTCAACTATTCCTTTTGTTCATTTACATTCAGCCCCCTGCAACATCCCAGATATTTACATCTGCTTTTCCTTTTTCCCTTCCCTCAACTCTAGAGTAGATGCTAGAAGTGTGACCAGGTGGGCTACAGGTGCTTGAATCTTCCTGTGTTCCCAGCACAGAAATGGTATGTAAGATATGAGCAGTCAGTAGCTCTGGCCCTGGCATTCTCCGGAGTGGTGGGTATAGATCAGAGACTGGGTGCCTTTTCCCCAGAACTGGCTCCTGGGGTAGTGTCTTTGGGGCTACTGGGGAGGTCAAGGTGACTCTGGGCAGAAGCAGACTTGGAGAGCCCAGGGCAGTTTCCCTTTACCAATTTACATGGAAGCCTTTCTGTATTTTAGCAACTGACTTGGCCATGCCAGTAGCTCTTAGCTGATTATCAGCTCTGCCTGACTCAAGTCTATGGGAGCAGTTTTCATATTGCGGGTTCTTCCTGCTCATAGCCCTCCCTCCCTTGGTAACTGCTCACAGGTATTTTTCCCCCGCTCTGGGCCCAAGCAGCTTGTCCAGACAAATTCTCCACACACATTTCCTCTTGTGGATGATGCAGAAAAAACAAACAAACAAACAAAAACAACAATAAAAAAACAAAAACCAGGAGAGGGGTCATTTAGATACACAAACTTTGTGCAGCGTTCTGAAATTATGGCATCTCACGGGCCTGCCATGCAGCACCCATGTAAACAAATCAAACCAGATGACTGTCCCTTCCTTTGTCACGGGGATAAAATGGGCTCACTCTGGAGCGAGACGCAGCAAAGAGTGTTTGGTGGGAGGGCACGGAATGCAGTGAACGGATGAGAGAGAGAGGCCCCAAACCTGGCTGCGCGTTCAGCCTGCACGTGTTGAGGAACTCTGAGGTGAAGTAAATGTCCACGTCACAGAAGAAGAGGAGGACGTTGCTGCCTTTCCAGAACCGGGCCCCAACATCGAGTCCCTTTCCCCGGGAAAACTCTCCACTCAGTTGGATGAAGGTGAAGTTCCTGAAGTTGGCAGCTCTAGAAGGGAAGAGGAAAGGAAGGTCAGGTTCAGCTGCTCCTATGTCCATGATGGCCAGGCAGCCGCATTCCCTGAAAGACACACAGCCAGGGACATCCACCTCTTGCTTTTTCTTCTGCAACCCCAAGGGCACTGGGACCCACCATCAGGTACAGAATGGCCCCAACTCAACAGGAACCACTGGGACTAAACAGACCAAGAATACCTAGCAAACTTTTAATCAGATTTTATTTCTCATTTCTCTGGCAATTTCCCCATACGGAAATCTGTACTATTATCCCTAGTGAATGCTCTCGGAAAAGGAGAAAACCTGAACCACTGAAACTAGGAGCACAGTCTCAGAAATCTCCAGGCTTTCTCCAGCACCCAAATGAACCCACTCAGCCCAGGACATGAAATCACTACGGAAAGGGCCCACCCGCCATCTTCTTGCTCGCATTCAAATCCAGAAGCCAGACAAAATGTTCTTGATCTCTATCTGTCTCAGTGCAGATTGAAACCTGGATTCCTTCCCACCCTCAGGTAAAGAAGTAGAGCAAGGCAGGAAAAATAACCGGCTTGGAGTCAGAAGGCAAGAACAGCCTCAGACCTGGCTTGTTGTTTATTAACTCTGAGAGGCAGGCAAGCCCATTAATCTCCCTGCACCCTCGTTGGCTTATCTGCAAAGTGGGAATAATAACACCTTCCTTAACTGTTTCACAGAGTGATTAGCTAGATAAATGATGCGAAGAACACAAGGCATGCTCCAAGAACCAGCTATTGCTGTCATTAGCACTGGTGAGAATTCCCAGGCTTCGCATGATGAGGCCAAGATATTTCCAAGAAACAGCAGAACCTGCTGAAATGCAGTGTCTTGAGCAAAGCAGAATGCACTAAGTGCAAGTGGGATAGGCATTGTCTTCCATCAGATGTCACAAGAGGACCAGCTCCTGTGTCCTCCTTTTTGCCAACATCACTGTTCTTTTCACAACAGTTTGCTCTACTCTCCCTCCCCTACCTGGACCAGCCCCACTATTTCCCAACCTCTCTAATGTTTCTATGTTCGAAAGGCATGGGAGCCCATTTCTATTTTTAAAAGTCTGTGCTTCAAGCAACTATCTGGGTCACAAGGTCAACACTAATACAGTCATCAGCTTTAAACATGCTAAGTTGTCCTGGCACCTGGTGACTGAATAGGTAGAACCAGTTCTGCTCTCACTTCTTTGACTTGCTGTCCTCTTTCAGATCTGAGAAGGAGCTTGATTGTTTTTATCTAGGGAATCTGTGGGCGCAACCTTACCTGGGTCTGATGCTAGACAGGCCTTTCAAGATAGAGATCAAGGGAAGAGGCCTTAGAATGAGAAGAGCACTCATCTGTGAGTCAGTAGGCCTATATCCAGGGCATAGAAGATGTGCCTGGCCAATACCAGGTACTCAGTAGTCATTTCTGAATTAATGCATGAATACCTGAATGGTTTTAATTCTTGCTCTGCCTCTAATGTTTTTTAGGACAAGTCACTGTCTCTCTTGCCTTAGTTTCATTATTACAAACCCACTGGTTATAGAACTCTAAGGTCCTTTTACAATTTATCACTCTCTTTTTCTATGATCCTGTATTCACTTCAGCCCTGCTCTGTCTCTGAGCAATTCTCCTCTTTCAGAACTTTATCTTAGAGCCTTTTCTTGGGATACATGAGCTCAGTTCATATTTTCGGTTAGCAGCACTGAAATTATGCTCCAGAGCTTTTTCAATATTAGGTCTGGCACTAACAACAGCATCACTTCCCTGTTTGCAATGACATGTAGGTGTCATGAGTCTCTGAAAGTGACCTTCATATCTCCCAGAGGTTTCTACAGCCCAGCTGCTGTACACAAGCACAGTCTGTTTCTCCTTCTCTGTTTTGGTCAGTTGCTAGGGAAGCTTTCCCCACAACACAGGCCTGGATTTTTACCTGTTCATCTAAGGGCCTCTCCAGCCAGGCCTCAAAGGTGCTTGTCACCAACCAGAGGGTTGCCGTGCTTTAACAACCAGTGATAGGTCTCCCTTCACCTTTACACCCTTTGGGATTCCTCCTCCTGACGGCAGGGATGTCAGCAGCTGATGTTCAGAGACAAGAGAACATTCCCAAGCACGATGAAGGAGAAAACTCTTATTCACTTGGATTGAATCTGATTCATAATTCAGATACCTCTTCTGGGAGGGTTTCCAGAATAAACCACTAGAGATTTCAAACCTAAAAAAAAAATACTTTTTATTTGAACACTAGCAAGTAACTTTTGCTAAGGCAAGAGGCATGCAGTTTCCTTGATACACTGCATTAGAGGAACACCAGGAATTTCCCCTTCAAACTGACAACAGCTCATTTGCATAGGTACATCCGATACTTATGAACACTAAATCAAAATGAGTAGTTAATAATACAAGGCAGCAGGAGATACTGCGCTAACAGTGCTGAAGGTATGACAAGACTGCGGGTGATTAATCACAAAGGAATGGTAGAGAGATGGTGGAATGCTACAAGGAGCAGAGACTAGCAATCTAGTACACAGGCTTGCTCAGTACAGAAAGTAATCTACTTGGTTCTGTACAAAATTCCCCAAGCCTTAGCTTGAGCCGCCCCCTATTATAAGCAGTTCTCTGTTCTACTGTACCGGAGGGCTAGGGCAAGGGGCCTGGGCCTGGGCCTGGAGAAGGAGAGGGGGCAATTCATGGGTTTGAGATGGCTATAATTTGGAAGAACCAATTAAAAAAAAAGTCATAAATATCAGCCTCTATGCTGCAGTGCATTGCATCGAGACAGAGAGAATTCAGGAATATGGGTGCTGGGGAGCCCTTTATCTAGTCTATCACAAAAGGCAATTTCCTTCCTTTCTCTTCATTCAAACTCTCTACAAGGATGAGACCATCCATGCTACTTCCATAGCACTGCCCATTCTGAATGCTCCACACTCCAGTGTGTGCTCACACCGCAGTGTCCCTCATCAGGACAGATCTGAGAAGTGAGGGCCCAGGGGATAGACATCTCTGTCCATGCCTTGTTTCCCTGGAGCATGTGCAGGACCAGTCCACAACGGCACTGGCCATTCCTTGTTCACACAGCACTCTGCTCTCTGTGTCCCTGCCTGGTTTCCTCATCTACCCCAAGCAACCTGGCCGGGAGGCCAAGTACCCCGTGACTGCTGGCCTGGCACCCTGGATCCATGCTGGCTCCTTTCTGAAGCTCTGAAAAATCTCCAGGTCCTGATTAGGCAGCAGGATGAGTCCACACAGAAGGCAGGATGGGGATAGGGGCAGTGCTGGTGTGGGAAGACTGTCAGCCAGTCACAGGCATGAGGAGGGCCAGAGTGCTAAATGTGTCATACATCTGTGGTTCCTGCCTGGCCGTCAAGGGCTTTAAGTCCATTTTCTTTAGCAAACAATCAGGAAGAACTGTTCCTTTTGCTTCCTGGCCACTGGGAAGGACCTCTGATAATCACCAGACTCTCTCTGTGGGGAAAGGGAGCTGAGTTGGAAATAGCAGAGAAAGAATCAGGACAACCACACCTCCTCCCTTTTCCACAGCAGAGAGATTAATACAGCGCCAAACCTCCTGGGCCCGGAAGTGGCAAACACTCAACATCTCAAACTCATCAGCACCCGCCATGTGCCTCCAACACACAGGCTGCAGCAGGATAACTAAAAGTTGGCTTCTGCAAGGAAGTCAAGCCCTTTATCTCTCCATTTTCATTGTGAAACACTGCTTATGAGACATGTGGCCTGTGTTGCTGGATGCAAGTGCACCCTGTCCATGCAGCAAGGCCATACCAAGGCAATGAAATGTTGGCTCAAAATACTGATTTGTCCAACAGAGTGTGGTGAGCGGATTTGGGATCATGCACGCCACGGCTATGGGGCTACAACCCTCCATACAGACCACTGAAGTGCACAGGCAGATACTGGGTTTGGTGCTGTCACCCCTTCCCACAGTGACCAGCCAGGAAGAGATGCACTTGGTGGAGTAGGCACCAAGACATGGGCAGCAGGGCCACCTATCTCTGCTCAGTGTTTCCTCCCCAGTGTTTCTCCACCCATTGCGGCAAACATTGCACTCCTTCAAGAGTTTGCTCCCTGCAAACTGAAATGCCCTCTCCTAGCTCCCAGGCATTTTGTCCAGTCCCGCCTGTCTCTCGTGTCCTGGTACCTTCTTGAGGTTTTGCTTATACAGAATGCATGAGATGCTCTAGCAGGCTCTAAACCCTTTGAGGGTAGTGGCTTCTTTACTTTCTTTCCTTCCTTCTTCATAGATTAGCCAGCACTGTGTAGTAAACAGCACACACAGGAACACAGGAGTAGTCAATTAACCCTGGATGAACTGAGAGACAAATAAAGGGAAAACACCGAGGCTCATTTCAGGTCTATCCTAAAGGAGGTGCCGCCTGGGGATGCCTGCCCAGGGGGCACCAGGGAAGCCCCTCTGTAATGGACCCACACCATGTCCCACATCAAAAAGAAGCTGTAACCAATGGAATCTGAATAATAAGAACAAACCTTAGCTTTTAAGAAGATGGAAAATAACAGAAAAACAGAGAGCTGAGAAAAATAAGATGAAAACTGGTTTGAAATATTTAGTTTTACCCATCCAGTGTCATGTAATATTTAGTGACATGCCTATAGTTTTGGTGGAGTAAGACATGGGCTTTATCGTGGTAAATAGGGGTATTAATATCAGATAATTTCCTATTACGAATCTAAGTATGCAGTAAAAAGGCTACATGATTTGCTTGTAATTATTTGTTCTTTTTTTCTTCTTCAATCATATTAACTAATGAAACTGTTGAATTTCCCACTCAGTTCCTTTTTCAATATAATAAATCTGGTGCATGGGGACTCCTTGGTTACACATCGTCATTTTTATAGAGGTTATAATGACCTGAGCAAGCGACTGCTTCTACTGGAGATTCAATTTCCCTAATTGACTTGCATTTCCCAGAATTGCTGGATTAAACATCATAAAAGATCTTGCTGTCTAATGTGATTTAC